TCTCTAACATGTTAATCTACATATCTATAACCTTCCCACAAAATTTCATATTTTTTGGAGCTGTTTTACTATTTGTAATTGATTTTACAAAGCTTTTTTAAGTTTGTTTCAAGAGTTTGTTTATGAAGAACTTTCACAAGAGCTTGAGGAGATCATTCTTTGGTGTTTGGGCATTCAACTCTTCTCCCTCTCTCTCTTGTCGTCTTTAGAGAAGTGTTTCTAAACTCAATCTAGCTTTACATTTATATATAAATGTTTGATTATCATTTTATTAAGCTAGAATTTATTTGAGTTTAGTTTGATTTGATTTACTCTTTGTTTACACACACAACCATTGAGCTTATTGTATTTACATACATAGTATAATTTGGAGTTGTTGGTTTGTGACTAAGAGTTGTGCTTAATTGAATTCTCATCTTGTTTAGAGAACAATCATTTGATTTATATTGTGCTTATTGTGAGATTCACTTTGTAATACACTTGTACACCGAGTGAGGAGTGTGTGGTGAGAGTCGGGGATCGTCCCAAGAGGTGGCGTCGGTTGACGTGCCTAGAGAGAGGTTGTAACCGAGCACTTGAGGGAGACACGGCTAGGTCCAACACTTAGTGGGTGTAGAGTGGGATTACAATAGTGTGTTGATTGTAAAGTTTTCGGTTAGCTAGAAAACCGAGTGTGAGGTGTAAACGTTATTCGGGTGAACGTAGAAAACCCGATTGTGATAGTGGAGATCTCCTCGAGGTCATATTGATTGTTTGAGTGTGCTTTGGCGTTCATTCATATTTATGTTCATATCTTATATCGCCATTGTGCATTGCTCATTTCTATATCATCCACTATCTTGTTTAGATTGTTTACCCTTGTGTTGTTTATATATCCTTGCACATACTTTGTCTATATCTCTTTGTTAGGATATATCTCTTGTTCATATTACTTATCCTAGCTTACATATCTTTTTGTATCTCATACTTGCTAGGATAACTTGTTAATTAATTTTAATTGGCATTTAATCGGATTAGATTAGCATAAGACCCTAATCACCCCCTCCCTCTAGGGTCTAACAGATCGTGTTCTTAAAAATTAATCTTTTGTTAGTAGTCATATCCCCAAATAAGGATACTTGCAGAGTCGTGCCACTATATTTAAAAATTAATCTTTTGTTAGTAGTCATATCCCCAAATAAGGATACTTGCAGAGTCGTGCCACTATATAGAAAAAAGAAAAATATCAATTTTAATTTTTTTACTTACACTATGGTAACTAAGTATCATGTGCATATTTTTTGTCCATTATAGTGATTTTTTCATCTTATCTAGTTTATCTCGCAATGTAGTTGATCAATGACTTCACTTTAGTTTCTATTACAAGATTATTTATTTGAAATTCTATATTAAATTTATAATTTCTTCAGTATTTTTAGAATAAAGTATGAAAATTTATAAGTACTTACTAATTTTTCTTGTACTTTTCATAAATAATGTTTTTTTATTATGACATAATTGTTTAATATGTTCTTCAAGGAGAACTCAGTTAGTGCTTCTTTGCTCGATATGCTTTTTATAAATGTCAATTCAGGTGATTCATGAATGTTTCTGAATTTTGAGTTTATTTCCTTCACTTTTCTATTTGAAATGAAAACCACTTAGTTCTTTTAAAAGATATCTCTGAACTTTCTGATAGTTTCTCCATACATAACTCATTGTATTTTTTTTTAGTTTATAAATAAATATTATCAATATTAGAGATAAATGTTTATAAATTATAATCAATTAATGCTAACCTATTATATCTTAATGTAATAATATCAAACATTTCCTCTTTTCTCTGCCAAATTTCAGCATTTTTATGATTTAAACTTTTGAGGTGTGTTTTGCAATTTTTAAACTTTGATAGTATTTTTATGAAAATTTTAAATTTTAATTAGGCGCTTATAATTTTTATGTTTCATGTATTGGTGATAAGTTTTTAAATGTTAGAATATTTTTCGTAACTCTAAAAATTTGAAGGTATTTTTATAATTACTAAAATTTTGGGTTGTTTTTAAAAATTTTAAAATTTTAGCAATCTACTGATAATTTCTAAATTTGACGTGTACCAGTTTATAAGTTTTAAAATTTTAGAATTTTTTAATAATTTATTACTTTTGAGAGAGTTTTTGTAATTTTTGTACATTTGAGGTTATTTTTTTACTAATTTTAAATTTCTATGTGCCTAATGTTAATCCCTAGAATCCATCTATATTGTTTTTAAGTTTTGAAATCTCTGAATTTTAGAATGTTTTTTGTAATTTAAACATGGTTAAATGGCACTTATATACCCTATTGTTTTGCTCTTGTAGTAGTTATATACCCTAAGTTACAAAACATAACAAAAAAATACCATGAGTTGGTAACTATTTAAATTTAGCTAATGGTGTTAAAAAAATACATGAAAGGATAATAATGCCCCTCCTTAAGAATTAAACCCCCACATAATAAAAGGTCTTATTTTCTACTGTTACCCATATTAAAGAGGAAGACGAAGTTGGAGGCCACAAAAAGAAGATGATGACGATGAAAATAATCTATTGTGCGGGCGGGAGGGGGGAGGGGGGTAGGTAATACAGTAAATAATACAATAAATGAGGGCAAGAAGTATTCAAGTTAGTCATAGGTCCAGCACGAGGGAATATTCTAGAGAATATTCTCACGGCTGGTTAGCAGAAGATACCAACTTGCAAATTTTTGCTAACTTAGGGTAATTTTTTTTTGCTATATTTGTTTTCGTCAAAAGTTGCCTTCATCATTGATTTCATTAAAACTTCAAACGTTACAAATGAATTCAAATAACAAAAATAAAAATTACAACTTTCTTGAAAATAAACACAAGATCCGTTTATCGTCTCTTGCTTGCGTGGGTCTTTAGCCTGTGACGGGGACGTCGATATCCGTAAACTACCTGGCAATCAGATCTGATCCAGAAAAACCGGGCAGAGCTTCGTCGATACGCGAGGAGATCTAGAAACTTGAAGCGCATATTTGCTCTTCTTAGGATTACCGACGAGGGGTAATGCTAAGGAACGGATGCGGGTGATGTAAATCTGATGAAGAACTCTCTTGTGTTGAAGTGCTCGATCACTCTTCACTCCAGCAGGGCTTCGCCAATTCTCCAAAAATCCAGATCCCCAAAAAGTGAGGCCTAAGGCTTCTATTTATAAGCGACACCCCTGGGGTGTCCCCGAAAATCTAGGACGCCCCTGGGGTGTCCCCGAAAATCTAGGACGCCCCTGGGGTGTCCCCGAAAATCTAGGACGCCCCTGGGGTGTCCCCAAGAATCTAGGACGCCGCGCTGTAAATTCTTCGTCCGAACTCGGATTTTAGTGATTCGAATTGCGTTGGAATTCTGACGAAGAGTTCTATCAGCCCCGATGGTTGGATTATCTGTAGAATGAATGGGAAACGAAGGGCATTGTTCCCTTTGTAAACATTGCAGGGCTCCCGATTAGCCCGCACCTTCGTTATTCCGGAATTCTGTCAGCTCACGTAGTTCGTCGGTTCACTTCAAGCGTTCACCGACGTCAATCGAACTCCTGTGAACCAGTGACGTTCATCGTCGTTCTTTAACACTGAACCGTTTGTGGAGACCTATAGGCAATTTTCGATGCCTACAGATACCCCCTCCAAAGTGTTCCGGACTCGTTTCTTTTATAGAAGAGGCTGGAATACTTTGGATGTGATTGGTCTAGCCTTCAGTCGGCGTAAGGACCTGTAGTTAGCTTCAACTCTTGGCTCCTTCGATTTTCGGTCTATTCGATGCTTTGACGAATAACCGAAGTTCTTCCGGCGCTGCGTTTATCGCCTGGCCGTCGTCGGAGTCTCGAGTCTACAGCTGATGAATTGAGTTTGGCTCGTGTCATTGAGTTGACTTTGAACTACCTCCGTCACATTGTGCTGACTTAGGGTTTCAGATCACCGTATGTTGACTTCTTGTAGCAACGCGTTGACTGGCGTTGACCTAGGGTTACGCGTTGACCGGCGTTGACCCTAGTGTTTCGAACGTCATACGTTGACTTTTTTTTGTCGCAACGCGTTGACTGGCGTTGACCTAGGGTTACGCGTTGACCGACGTTGACCCTAGGGTTTCGAATCAACCTGAAGAGAACCAGTTTATACTCGTGTACTCCAGGGAGTTTCGGGAATTAGTTTAGCCTCGTGTACCCGTCGGAGGTTGACGGATTATCCTTAAGAATATTATACATAATATTCTCCAGGAACTTCCCGTCCATTGTGCAAAATAGTTTAGACTCGTATTCTCATTGGAGTATAGATACGAGTGTTGAATACGTCGTAAAAACATCTCATACGCGTGTGAACCATAAAAAAATGATTCAATGCGGTTCGGTTCATGCTTGTTTGAGTTGGTTCGGGTCATGTGGGTTTGGTTCATATGGGTTCGGATTTTTTTTTTTTTGATACGAATTCAGTAACGGATATGAGGGTTGCGGATATCCGCAATATAATAGTGATTCGGGTAATCGGGTCCCCATCTTATAGTTACAAACCCGCTAACCCAAAACCAAAACTAAAAAAAGAAAACCCTAGGCCCTCACTCACCCTCAAGCCGCCTCCACCCTCAAATCGCCCACACCTCCACATTCTGCTTCGTCCCCTCCGGCGGTTTCTTCATCTCTCCCTCGACGAGCACGCAGGTCCCCGTCGGCGTCAGCTTCGAGAGCTCAGCGACGCTCGAATCGACGATGACCTGAAGGTTCGAGAGGCAAGACCCGTCGTTGAGTTCGAGGAAGGCGAAGGACCCCTTGCCCTGCTCGCGGCCGGTTAACTTGGCCGATTCGAAAATTGATGTTTAAGTAGTGAATCTCACGCTGTTTGCTTTGGTCTGTAGCTGCTCATACTGTTTGAGACCCAAATTCATTAAGAAATATGTCTATTGGTTGAAGTTAGCTTCCTCGATTGGGATTGGAGTCAAGATTGGATCTTTGTAACCAGTGAAATCATGCCATTAACTATAGCTGCAGAAATGCACTGAATCTAGGTGTTTCCATAGTTAAGTACCCACCTTCTGGCCAATCAATCAACTTTAAAAATGAGCAGGGGAGAGGAGCACCAACACGACCCACAGTTGTATCATCATATTCAGAAAATGTTCCACCAGCACAAGTTTCAGTTAGACCATATCCTTGCCCAATTGGCCCCAAGGCATATGTTAATGAATCTTTGTGTATCTCCAGAAAGAGGAGCCCCTCCAGACAGAAGAAAACGAATATGACCTCCCAAAACTGCTCGAACTTTCCTAAACACGAGAAAATCCCATAGCATTTTCTCCAAGCCCCATGCTCCAAACCAACTTCCATTAATCGCAGCTAACCTACGTCCATATGCAATGTCAAACAATTTTCTTGATAGTCCACCTTTTGCATCTACCTTTTTCCTCACACCGTCTCGGACACGGTCAAGGATAGCAGGGACAGCAACCATTAGTGTTGGTCTCAAGACTGAAGCATCACCTTTTGTTCCCTTTTTTATCTTGTTAGATGTATCAGTGAGAGTCAATGGTGATCCGTATCCTATACTTATTCCTACAGCAACCATCAAAGACTCTGCAGCTAACTCAAGAACATGAGCTAGAGGCAAGTATGCCAGATAAACATCTTTTCTACCAAGCCCAGGGACAATAGTCATGACCGCAGAGAGTGTTGATAGGATATTACCATGTGTCATCATGACTCCCTTAGGCAAACCAGTGCTTCCGCTGGTATACATGATAACTGCAATATCAGCTGAAACAGGCATTTCAGCAGCAACAGGATTTTCCCGGCCTATCCTCCCTACACCTTCCAATGAGTTTTATTAATTCTTTATGTCCACAAACCACAGTTGAAACTTCAGTCTCATTTAAAGAGTGACAAGAAGCATATATAGTGACGATTGTGATGTTTCTTCTGAGACAACCCTGTAAAGCGATCATCCACTCTGCTCGCGTATCAGCAAATATCGCAACTCTTTGCACAATTCCAGAAGCAAAGTTGCAAACAGCATCATAAGCTTGATTATAACTCAACCATTCATACTTCCCGAAATGAAATTTCTCAAAAGACCTTCCATCTGCTGTGACTTCAATTTCACTGGAGATAAGCTTACGGGTACCAAGCATTCGTTTGGTAGCAAAATTCTTGCAAGCAAGCTTAAATAGCTCGGCAAGTGTTGTAACTTCTTCCCATTGTGTTTCGATGGGCGAGGTGAACCGATAGTTTCGAATAGCATACCCAGGTTCTCCACCGACATCAACAGGCAAACCTCGCTGTTTTGAACTCTTTTTACTAAGAATATAGGAGAACACAAAGGGAACAACGATACCGACAAGATAAGGATTCATTCTCGATCAGGTCAATTAAGCCCAACAGATATTTCCAAATTCAAGACCTCGTATTAGGATCTTCACAAAGACTCGAGAAAACCCCTTGGCTTTGGAAATGAGATCGAAATCTAGGTTGTTTTTTTTTTTTTTTTTTGGGGGGGGGGGGGGATGGACTGAATTTTGAAGGGGTTTTGTATAAATTTGGGCTAAAATTTGAGGGCTGAAATTTTACCCTCCTTTGGCCGAAAATTAAGAGGCGTTTGCGTGTGAAAGGTTCAATGTGGTTTGAGGGGTTTATTTGCAAAAGAGCAACCCACAAAGTATAGGGGAGTTTATTTGCAAAAGGGCTGGAATTTTAGGGCTTAAATTCCAAAAGTTTAGATCACAAACCTATGACCAAAGTTTTGATAAAAGCATGCGAAAACCAAACCGAAATTTGTGGAGGGTCTTTTTTGCAAAATTGGCTAAATTTTACAAAAGGGTTTATTTGTGGGGTACTGGGGTGCTATGTGATCAGGTATGATGATCATGACCCAACTCGAGCGTGTCCTTGACCCGAATTTAGCCTTGAACACGAAGGGTATTCTGGGTATTTCATCAAAGTTTACCGCGAAAATGACAATTATTGTTTCGCATGCACGAAATTTGTAGGTTTAATTAGACTTCAACTATAAAATCCTATTTATACACAGGATTTTAATTAAAGTTCTTAATTTCCCTTTTAAATTTCGCGTATTCATACTTTAGATTGTATCTGACTTGCTGCTTTTCATTACAGGTTTCCGATGCCTCCGCACCGATCTCGACTTCCTAGGAGTCGATCCCATTCGCAGCCTAGTGAGGAAGAAGTTCCCGCAGCATCCTCCCCTCCAGCGGCTTCCTTTTTTGGGGGTGGGAATTTTTTTATTTTTGTATCCCCGATTGATCCCTTCGCGGGTCATGAAGGAAGAACCGACACCCTCCTTCGCGGGGGTTAAGGTTTCAGACTTGTCTTGCTTGGCCAATTCAAGTCTTCTGGTATATTGGGGCGATTTTGTGTCGTCCTACACCTTATAGGTCGGTGTATGTTACCACGTTATTCACGTGATGATGCATACCGTTCTTCCAGTGTAGGACACTCAAAATCGTCTCTCTAATTATTCCGTGAATGAGCTTATCCCGTGGGCAGCCTTCCTCCTCATGCTAATACTGGTTGTAGCCGGGAGGTCTTCTCTTCAGCTTCCATCAGGCAGGCCGTTAGTCCACTCCCTCAGTTTGACAGAGATCGCTCCGACGAATCCTGTCGTTTGATACGGGATGGAGGGCGTCATTGCTTACGCCAGCTGATTACGGACGCCTCCTTCACTGCAGATTCTACTTCCACTCAGACTTTAAAGAAGCCCGGTTTTCTGTTCGGTGATCACGCGGAGGATCCTGCTACGTTGACTCTTACCGATGAGCATTGGCTGAATCTTCATGAGGGAGCTCTCCTGTATATTCCCTCTATTCCTCGTCAATATTCTTTCACCCATTTGGAGGGACAGGCCGTGGAGCGACATATGTCTTGGCCTCTTACCTATGATGCTGAGCGAGTTCAGTGTGGATATACCTCTCATCATAAGATTCCTGGTTCTACTGGGTATCATGATATCCGCGGTCTTCGACCAGGGATTATGGGTCTTGACACTGCACCCCCAGGCGAGGTATCAGCAGCTGCTCCTACTGTGAAGAATCGTCTGGCTCATCTTGGGAGAAGGTTACCTCCACCAGATTACAGATGCTATGGTTGGGCTTTCTCACAAGCCAAGGGATGGTGGACACGCATGACCAGTTACGTCTTGGGGCGCTGGGAGAAGGATTTGAAGAGCAGAGGATTGTATGCACCTATACGGGCCACCATGTACGGACTTCCGGTCAGCTGCCGCCATTTCTTAGCGTTGTTGGAGACATACATGCCCGACAGTAACACGTTCATGACCAGCGGCGGAGAGTTAGGGTTGGCCTTACATGAGATGTATCAGGTTTCTAGTCTTCCAATGGGGGATTGTCCATATCAGGAGTACTTTCCCTCGAACCAGCAGTTGGAGTGGTTGAAGAAGGATACTCCCGACATGCATGATACTTTTTGGGATATCACTTGTCATTATTATACTTCCTTGATCAAGATTTCTCCTCCAGCGAAGAAGAAAAGGCAAATTAGCTTGAAGCAGTTTGCTGTCTATCTGTTCCCTAATTTGGAGGGTGACTCCGGCGAGCCCTTTCGTGAGTTAGATGTCCTGACCCCTACCATCATTAATGAGTTGATGAAGAAGGCTGAAGCTCATTCTTACACCATTGCCCGTGCTGAGGGAGCTTTTCCCGCAGGAACCAAGTTTCGTTCGTTCCTCCGCCGTGCACAGAAGTCCATCGAGCCCCGAACTCTGCTAGCAGGCTACCTTGCCCTCTGGTTGAAGAAGTGTGTTGTTCTGTACTGGTCTTTAGACGCCTTACCTCTCGAGGTGTTCTTCCCCGCAGTTCAGCTAGCTTATGGGAGGGAGCTTTCATTGCTCCCAGCGATGGTTGCCGGCATCCATTGCGGGCTTAGGTATCTGGTCAGTGGTTTTACACGGGTGAGTTCTAAACCATCGACTGAGCTTACTTGTCCGAAGGTCGAGCTCCCTTATGCGTATCTGATGGCGTGGCTCGTTCTTCACCGTCCTGACTTGATGTCGGCGCCCAGCGTTGTTGATGTCCCTGTTCCTTTTGTGCAGCTGTTGGAGAGGAGCAGATGGCTCGGGAAGAAATTCGGCGACGCACAATAAGAGTTTCAAATTCGCAAGAGCTGGGAGTTCTTCAAGTGTTTTCCCCACTTTTCGGGTCGCTATGGTGATGTGCTGACTGATGAGGAGAAACCCAGAACTAATCGGACTGCTCTCGACGTTGGTTGTTTCCGCTGGTTAGTGAACATCCGTGTTGGGTATCTCGTTCTCCGGGTGAAGAATCATTGCCACATAGAGCCTTACCTTCCCTGTCGTTTTGCTCGTCAGTTCGGTTACGACCAGCTATATGTTGGGAATCCGAGCCGTGGTTTGAAGGTTGAGGGGGGGCTTATTGATGGCGTACGGGCATGGCTATGGACTATGGTGGGTTGCACCGGAGCCCACTTTGCTCTTCCTTCATATAGGCGCAAGCCGATGATTACTTTCCTCAGTTGTAAGTGGTTCCTCTCCGCCAATGAATCCATAGGTGTGAGGAGTCTTTCAGAGTTAGAGTCTGAGCACTCGGTCCAGGTCGCTATGATGGCTGTTCGTAAAGCCGAGCTTGCTCAGAAACAGAGGAAGAAGTCTGCCAAACCTCCTCTCTCAAGCAAAGACGATGAAGAGCTCCTTCCTACTGACGATGATGACGAGACTTCTGAGGAGGAGTATGTGGATATAGATATTAACCAAGAAGAACTTGATGCAGGTTTGTCATACTCTTTGATCATCTTTCTCAACTTCAATTGATATCAACGAAAGATCTGGTTCATTTAATGAAATAATCCTTATCATTTCAGGTAGGACAGCCGACGACCATGAGTCGCTCGCTTCCCGTCGTGCGAGATTCAGGCCTGGTGGCCAAGCTCCTACCCAGGTTGATACACGTGGCCAGTCCACGCACGAGCGACCCATTGGTTCTATGAGAGGTGATATTCCGAAAAGGAAAAAGATCGCTCATAAACCACACGTTGGTCAGCGCTCCTATGAAGCGGATTTAGGAGACTTCGCCGACAGGGAGGAAGGTAATACTTCGTCGTTTTCATTGCTTTAAGATGACTTACCTTCTGGGATTCGTAATCATGTTTTATGTTCCAGGGTTCTTTGAAGAGGGCGTTCCATATTCAGGTATCTCTACATTCGATGATACCCTCCTCAAACATGGGGAAAGAGAATCTTCTGTTCTTGCTGCAGGTATTTCTGAGCTTTCCCTTCTTCCTTATCTTCTTATACATATCTCCAACATTTAGGTTGTCCTGCAAATGTCGCGATGGAAAAGCCAGCTGAGGATCAGTTCTTTCATGATGTGGGCTTCGAGGAACAGAGGTGTGCCTCTGTACCAGGTTCCTCGGGACCCGACGCTGGATTATTAGCCGATATGTTGGCTGAGCAGGCCACCAGAAGAACCGCGGGACCACCCTTTGAGAGTGATTCATTTACAGGTATATATCTGATTCCCTTCATCTTACCTGATCTTTTGTTTGACTAACGAAGGATTAATATTACAGCGCCAGTCATTGGGATTAACCCAATATCGATTCCCGGCATATCTAGCTTACCTCGGAGTGACGGATTTGCAGGTACGTATACGATTTAGGGACATCGTACTCCTCTTTATTTATCTGACTTTTGACTAATATATGGGTGCAATCATAGGACCAGCCATCGGGACTGATACTCTTATGACTACTGACATTCCCCGGATACCTAAGGATGATGGACCTACAGGTATGCAGATGACCTTATCACCCCGATCCTCCTTATTTGTCTAAATTTTTATTTTGACTAATAAAGAAGTGAAACTATAGGACCAGCCGTTGTGCCTGATGCCACTACAGTTTCTGGGACTGATAGTTTGTCTGAGAGCGGTGTTTCCCCGCCACAGCCGAGAGGTATGACTGATTTGCCTACAGGGGTTGATATACCCTCCATGACTACTCCTGCAGTTATTTCGGAACCTGTCGGATTTCAGCCTGAGGGGACCTCCGTTGGCCTTGGTATACTCGAAATTTGCCTTTAAATTTTCTTATCGTATTCGATAATCTCTTAGCTTTCCACACTGTTTCTTGTAGGATCTCGATCATCTCTATATGAGCGTGTCCGCGCCCTCTTGGCTGATACCGATCCCGACAAAGACATTTTCCGTACGGACCTCGGCCTTTTTACCGTCTTTTATAACGGCATGATCGAGAAACTTCTTCATCGAGGATACGGTTTCGATCAGTTCAGGCGTTCTTTTTCTCGTCACATGCTGATGTTCAGAGAAGAAGGGTATCCAGAGTTGGCCGATTCCTTCACTGCCGATTTCACTGTTCTGGAGTCAGAGATCCGAGAGTTGAAGGAGTTGAAGGCTGGTGGAGCTTCTTCCTTCGTGTCCTCTCAGATGGAGCATAGGCTGACACAGTGGCACGACCTGAGATCTTCCATCGGCAGCGAGCTTCGATCACATGAGCATTCTGTTGCGCAGCTGATGGCTACCGTGGCAAGGAAGGATACAGGTAGAGCCGAGTTACTTAGCTCTTTGGATTCCGGCCGTGAGGAAGTGGCTAGATTGAAGGAGGCCTTGAAGCACGCCGAGGAGTCCGTTACTCTTATTGCAGAAGACCTGGCTGGATTAGAGTGTTCTCGTGAACAGACGCTCGAGAAGCTGGGATCTACACAGGAGAGATTGATGAAGCTGAAGAATGAAGCCGCAGAGATCTTAAGCAGTTCCGAAGACTCTGTCCGAGCTAGTCTGCAGGCAGAACTTGAGCAGAGCTATGCAGACAGGCTTTCTAGTTTAGAGTCCCATGTTCTTAGCCGTCAGTTGCCTTCGGGCTAACGAGCTTTTTATTATATGCTTTTGACTTGATCTATTACTAGAGACTCCGCATTTGCTTCTTTCATGATATTTCTTTATTTACTTTGAACCCAGCAATGATAAAATTTATAGGATTTTTGGCAACCCCTCAGCCCTCAACGGGTTTGATATGCCTTTACCGATTACCGTTTGAATCGGGCTAGCATGTGGATTGTCTAGATCCGTTCCACATGTAACGTTGTGCTAAGAGAATAAATTCTCTGAGACTTTGTGCTATGATGTCGAATACATAGGCTCCACCATTCATTATAGGAAAAAGGTACCCCGCACCGCGTATTAGGCGATGACTCATCCCTACTTAGGATTCGGGATGAAAATCCCCAGAATTATACTCTGGTGTCTTTTTGCAATCGGTGAAAGACTAATCGGCAACGCGTGTTAGGCATAGACTTATCTTTATTTAGGAGTTGAGATAAAATTCCCCGTGCACAAAGTGCACGGATTGGAAGTTGGGAATTTTGTCTTTTCTCAGGGTAAAGACGAACTGGAAAATGGAAGAGGAAGAATTTTATATTCTATCTCCCGGTACCAAAGAGGAAGAATTTTATATTCTATCTTCAGTTGGAAAAGAAACTCAAGGTGTGATCTCCACCCCCAGAATCCGAAATGATGAAACTAAGAGTGTGATCTCCACTCCGAGAATCAGAAAGGTTCAAACGACCCTAACTTTTATAGGATTGGTCATTTGAATCAAAAGAATCCCTCATTCATTGAGGAGAAAGCCCAATTTCGACCCTAACTTTTATAAGTTTGGTGGAAAAAGAACAAAAATAGATTTTCGTTTATCGAAAAGGAATGACTCGGTCTTAGTCCTAACTATCTGTAGGTTTGACTAAGTGAGATTGGGAACAATCCTAACTTTTATAGGTTTGATTGCTCAATTTAAAGTGGACCTCTCGTTCATGGAAGGAATCGAGAGAGGAATTTGGCTTTGGCCCTAACTTTTATAGGTTTGACCTGAAAGCAAAGAAAGTGGAATACAGGTAGCAAAGAAAGTGCCAACTCGTATTATCACTCAAAGGAAGACTTTAATGCTCGGTGATTAGGACCTAACATGTTGAGTCTGAGAAATGCCAACGACGGGCAGATGGAAATGTTGGTGGATCCACCGTCGTTTAATTTGATCAGCGGATGGTTTGGTGAGGAAAGATTAACCTATCAAAGGATTGGATCTCATCTCACAAAAATAACTCATAAGAGTGAGAGAATTTTGACAATAAGAAGGAACATTCCGACATTCAGAGTTCGAACGAGAATTTCTTATTCATCGTTCCTATAATGATTGGGTTATCCCTAACAATACCTCATATGATGTTCTTCTGGGAACTTCCCGATGCACTGGTTATCCTGAAGATACTAAGGATAGTATTTTTTCAGGAATTTGCAATTTATCGGCATCATAAGCCGGTCACCGTCCTTGGTGACAAGGCGATATACGGCACTCGAGTAGACTGTCTCCACTACGAATGGTCCCTCCCATTTGGGTTCAAATTTGCCCTTCTTCTTGGAATTAAGGATCATAGGCCGTCTTTCAGTTAAGACCAAATCCCCTTCCTTAAAACTCCTTTGTCGAATCTTTTTGTCAAAGGCTCGAGAAATCCTAGCTTGGTAAAACTCAATATGCTGTTGAGCTTCCAGGCGCTTTTCATCGAGCCTCTCGAGTTCTTCGAGGCGTTTCTGATGTTGTTCTTCGTTCGTCATCTGGGTTGCAAGAGCGATCCGAAGAGACGGAATTTGGATTTCCAAAGGGAGAATGGCTTCACATCCGTACACCAATGAATATGGGGTTGCGCCGGTCGGTGTACGCACCGTGGTACAATAGGCCCATAGAGCCGCGCCGAGCTTGTCATCCCAATCCCGATTGTTATTCTTCACGATTTTTGACAAGAGCTTTATGATAGTCTTGTTGAAGGCTTCAGCTAATCCATTTGCTGTGGGATTATAAGCCGTTGACGAGATATCCTGAATTTTAAACTTTTCGCAAAACCTTATGAAGGCGTTGCTGACAAATTGAGGACCGTTGTCATGTATGATTCGTCTTGGAACACCATACCTATAGATGATATGGTGCTTGATGAATGCAATGACATTACTCGTTTTAACTTCTCTGAGTGGAACTGCTTCAGCCCATTTGGAGAAGTAATCGGTAATTGCCAGGATGAACCGGTCACCTTTGACTGATGGAGGATTTATAGGGCCAACAATGTCCATTCCCCAAGTCTCGAACGGCCATGACGTAATCGACGGATGCAGATGCTCCGGAGGTTGGTGCATATAATTCGCATGTACTTGACATGCGTGACACTTTCGGACGTATGTGATTGCATCACTCATCATGAAAGGCCAAAAATATCCCATTCTTTTGATGCGGTTATAAAGCTTGGGACCAGGTTGGTGCGCGCCACACTCTCCTTCATGCGCCTCCCTAAGGACCTCTTCAGCTTCTTTGGTTGATAAGCAACGTGCTAGCAACACATCGTACCCCCTGCGGTATAGCGTTCGATTCTCCGTATTATAGTAGAATCTTGGTACTCTTCGTCTGATTGACTCTCTTTCCTTCACATCTTCTGGCAAGATTCCATGCAAGACGTAGTCGATGATGGGGAAACGCCAATCTCGTGGTTCGAACTCGACTTGAGCAGCGTGCACCTCTTGAACCTCTTCTTCCTTGGCATCTTCATCGTAAATCGGCACTAAGATTTGGTGAGTTCTTACCGTAACAAACTGTTCCGTCCCGGGAGGCTGTGCCAAAGATACGGCTAAAGCTGCTAACGCATCCGCGTATGTATTCTGTAATCGTGGCACGTGTTCGATGAAGAATCCTTCAAATGATTCTGCTATTTCCACTGCCATCTTATGATATGGTATTAAATCCTGACTTCGGACTTCATATTCTCCTTGGACTTGCTTGACTATTAGCTGAGAATCACCGAAAGCTTCGAGATACTCAACCCCCAGCTCCTTAGCGAAATTGAGTCCTATAATCAATGCGTTATACTCTGCTACATTATTCGAGCATGGCTCGGTTAACGAGTAGGCTCGAGGCATCACATGTTTTCCTGGGGAAACTAAAACTACTCCAACTCCGGAGGAGACCTTAGAACATCCAGGAGTACCTGTGACAATAGCTGCTCGGGAAGCGCCATCGAAGTACAAACGCCATACTTGTTGGTGCGAAGTTGCATTGACTTCGTGGGCTTCGTCGGGTAGATCGTCATATATCTCGGCGGTGTCCGTAGTTGGATTAGCTGCCAGGAGATCACAGATGGCCTGCCCTTTTACTGACTTCTGTTGTTTAAAATATAAGTCATATTGGGATAAGAGTAAGGCCCATTTTGCTAAACGCCAATTCATGGAAGCTGGTTGAGTCATGAACACTCGGACTGGGTTAACTTTAGAGATAACATAAATGGTCTGTCCAACCAGATAATGCCGCATCTTCTGAATAGCAAACACCAAGGCGAGACATTCTCTTTCAATCATAGGATATCGAGATTCAGCGCCTACCATGGTTCGGCTTAAATAATAAACAGCCTGCTCATGACCGTTATCGTCATCTTGTGCAAGTAATGCACTTAATGAGTGGCTCGTCGCCTTAACATAAATCAAGAACGGTTTGCCCGATTTCAACATTCTAACTCCCAGCAACGGTCTCCATCCCCACAACAGTCACCTTCCGAACAAATTCCGACATCTTGCCCATATCCACCATATCAGCATCGTCGTCCGCGATCTCCTTCCCAACAACACTCACCTTCCCAGCACACTCCGACATCGTACCCATATCCTCCATATCAGCATCTTCCACCGTATCCGTATACATCATCTTCGCAGTTCTACTACCCCCATCCATACCAGCCACCTTTGTACCACCCAGTGCCACACCCACCTGGAGAGTTTACAGCAATGCTTAATGATTCAGATTTTATGCAGCAGATGATGCCACCAAATGATAGGAATGGCAGGGATAAAAGTTAGATATTTTTACATTCATGTTGAAGGTCAACTTTGTTGATTATTTAAGTTATTGTTAAGTACTATTTGTCACATGTTTTTTAAGCAATTTTGGTACATTATTATGTAATCAAATTGGATTGACTTCTTATCAATCAAAATTATTCATGTTTCAATTATTTTATGTTTGTTTTTCAATTTAATTATATGAAATAAAAATTAATTATTTTTTCTAGATTTATTAAAAAATTAAAATATTAATATCAAATTTAAGTTATTAGAGGCAATTATATTTGTACATTTAATTAATATTTTTATTTTAATTCCAACTATTTGGGGCAGTTACATCTGCATCTAATAAGTTATTAGAGGCGATTATATTTGCATCTAATAAGTTATTAGAGGCAATTATATTTGCCTCTAATAAGTTATTAGAGGTAATTATATTTGCCTCTAATACTTTTTCAAATAAACGAGCTGATGTGGCGCGTTGAGTATTTGGGACGGAAGTTTGTGCAATATTGCCTCTAATAACTATTAGCACCACCACATTTAGGTGCGGATACGAGATTTGCCACTCATGTAATTAGAGGCAGATAATTCTATTTATTTGCCTCTAATTGAATTAAAAGTGACGAAAATAATTGCCCCTAACTCTTTTTTTTTTCTAGTGTATATATGATTGCTAGCTAGGATAGAATTTGGACTTGAAAGGAGGATGAAGTTGTTCTCATGTTTCTACCATGAGTAGCATTTTATTCATTCTTCCTGTTATGTTTTATCCTTGGGAAAATTGTTTCTAGCCCCTAAAATAACAACAACTATTCTTCCCCCACCCAAGACTTTTTTAACACTCCCAAAACCCCAAAAGTAAAGCCACAATTCTCTGAACCTCCAAAACGTAAAACCCAGGAGTTTAAAACATGTGAAGACCATAATACCGAGCTCTCTCTCTCTCTCTCTCTCTCTCTCTCTCTCTCTCTCTCCCCCCCTCCCTCCCTCCATGATGTTATTGTGATGATTTGAAATGGGTTTTGGGGG